CATAAAAACACAATATTGCCCATCGGTTCAATTCAAATAGAACTGAATGAGATTGTGTGCTTATCGTACAGCCTATTGTAGGACATTTACATAGTATACACTGGGTGATGGGTGTTTGTCCGTATCATGTGATCTTCTAATTGTAGGTGAAGCCGTCAGTTTCGTCTGTATATGTAACCTGCTTTTTGTTCATACAGATGTTTGCCTGACAACAAATTTGAAGGCCGAAGTGTTCCATTAATGTTTTTTTGAGCCCTTGCCATATTTAGTGTGTGGACCACTGCTCTTTTTCGTTCAGTCAGGACACTCGTGTCAAGGTTTTGGAATATGTAACATGACTCCCGCGCGTGTCTCAACTACCACAGGCTCCACACAGATTGTAAACAAAAGAGGTTTCAATACATTCGTGACATTGAAAATGTTTTCTGACGCCAGAACTGCACTCAGCATGTCTGTTAAACCTCATGGACACGCAATGTTTTGGTAAGAAACACTGGGTGTCAACATTACGGTTTGTTTAAAACTCCTCCGTGTACCTTTGAATGAAAATGTGAGTTTTTTTTATGGCATTTTTACAAAAAAATTATTGATTGATGACCATCCATGTCACTGTGCTTTGATCGTTTCTATTTTATGATGCAGTTTTAAGTTTTACATGTACTGTCATGATTCAGGCCTCAAAGTCACTTCGCAGTGTTGGTGATTGATGCACTCTGAACACTGGCTGTTCACTCCCTTTGGAAGTTTGTGAGCTGCCTTGTGTTGCTTTGAAATCACATGTAACAGTCGGGACAGTTGGGCTTCTTTTAAAGGTGACACATACTGCTAATTGGCATTCAAGTTACGTGAATCACTTGTGTAGGTGCTTCTGTAATGGAGATTTGGTTACTTCAAGGTTCTTTTCATGTAGTGTTTCTGTTTTTTTTGGTATGCGCCCTGTAGACAGTCACCCAGGGTGCCATCATTAGTAGGTCATGCCAGCATGGAATAATTTCCCCTTAACGTAACCCCTGGTACTTCTCTAAGGCATGTGAAGAAGCCAGAGGGGCCCAGCAGTGCTTCTGTACCTTGTAGGAACGCAGTTCCTGCTCCTCACAGTCAGAGTCACTGTGATAAGGCTCGTCAGACGTGGTCCAGGTCAGAGTGCACTCCCTCTTCCAGATGAAACACAGGGAACGTCCCTGGGAATCTACACAAGGTAGTAGAGTGAGAACAGACTTTAAACACCAAATTATGATATTTAGAAAAAAGGATCTGCACACTTTTTACCTCTCTGTAACTTTAGGTCGATAACTGTTCTGTCTGATGTTTGGTGCAGAGAGGTAGGTAGTTGTAGTTGTATTTAGACCCTTTTCACCTTGTCACATCGTTTTCACATTGTATCATTTTATTAATTAAAGATATCATAAGCCGCTTTAATATATATAAATATTCGGATACAAGTAGTTGATGATAAAGCCAAGCTCTTTGGTCACTAAACTTTATAAAGGGAAAATGTTTGACAAAGGGAATACCAGATCTTATGACACCTGTGCTTTGTTATGCAAATGACTCATGGAAAATTTAGTTCACACTTGAAGTTATCAATAAAACTCCACAAATGCAATGTATTAAAACACCTGAGGACAAAATGAAATAATTTATTAAGGAAACAAGTTAACCATTCACTGTTTCATGCTTCTCAAAATGTGAAATATGCCTCTTCTCTCTGTTTCAATTGAATATCTGGGTTTATACAGTAGATCAAAGAAACTATTTGAAGAAGTCATCGTGGGTTCTGGGAATTTTTATTCTAAATGATTAATCTAATAATTAATAAAAAATAATCTACAGTAAATAAAATAATGGAGTGGAAGTGAACTAAATTCAAACAAATAAGAATGTATTGTATCAAGCTGTTTTAAAATTTTCGAAAAATGAAATTAACTTGAGGCAATGTTTTTCAAAACAGTGTGGAATTAGATTATGTAGCATTTTAGAGGGTGAAAAAAAAGTAGAAATGTATCTTACTTCTTCCATAATCAGGATGCCACAGCGTACGAGACTGTCAACTGCATCCAGAGCAAAACTCTGGGACGGCTGACAGGGCTGGGGGGGAGAGAGGGTAGAGAGAGAGCGAGAGAGAGAGGATGAGTGAGCTCAATGGTGAGGCAAGGTTAGAGGCACAAACAGCTTCAGCCCATCACATATCTAAGAGGACAGCTGACAGAGAGCATAAGGTGTGTAGCAGAGATCAGAGGATCAGAATAAAAGATGGCCGACAGGAGAATGAGAACAGCAGCCATATTTTTCAGTGAGGAATAGGGTGGGAAACATAGCTGCAAGCAGAAGAGACAAGAAAGAGCAGCTGCCTAAATGAAAGGTGGGCAAACAGAGAAAGGAATAGTATTCTGGCTCACATTCGGAGCCCTAAAAGTCAGTCTGATGGAGCACGCACGCACACACACACACACGCACACACACAATTTGAAACCTCTCTGCCAGAGATAGAGGCAGCAGAGCAGGATGAATGGCTGTTCAGCTCCATTAAACATCCATTGAATGAGACACTTGTGTGTGTGTGGTGTGTGTGGTGTGTGTGTGATATGAATTCAAACTCACTGGCATGAAGCCCGGAGGCAGGAGATGGCAGAGCTGCAGGGCTCTCTCAGTCAGCTCGGACTGGCAGAGCGCCACATCAAACTCCATGTCACCTTTGACCTCCTTCCGTCCACGCCGTCACTCCTCACCCTGCTGCTGACGCCACTGCGGGCCACCTCGCACAGCATGGCTGACACCGCACACGCTAAGAACAAAAACATACATAAACATCTGATCATTTGCTCTGGTTCTTCATGCACATACACACGGGTGAGAAAGCTGGTGTTATCCAAAGTAAGCAGGTTTCAGTCTGAATCGTGTTGGACACTGGACACGGACTTCGGCTAATGGATCAGTTGATGAGATTTTCCTAATAAGTAGGATCTCGGCCATTTACACAAGTGTTATCTCTTTATTTATACTTTTTATCCCCATTATCCTGCTTTCATGTGCTGGTGGGAAGCTTGACACCCGTGTTTATGTGCCTTTGTCCCAGTCTGTCACAAAATCAAACCTGGAAGACAAATACTGAAACCAATCTAATGCTTAGGAGATTTCAGTTTCCTTAA